TCCAGTATTACCAGTGGTCTTCTAACTAAATTATGGTTTTGAAGTCATGATTTTTTGTGCACTTCATTGTGTTTGAAAACAAAGCAAATTCAAGTGGAAAGATTTTCATGCAGTTTTAAACAGTTTTTGAATCATATGTCTTTCTTTAAAAATGTTCTAAATAACCTTTATATAGTTGTATATAATCTTGAATGTCCATTGTCTAGTAATATTGCTTTTCTTTTCTATGGATATTGAAATTTTGTGTGTGGGGAAAAATGTACAAATTGAATACAGTTGGTGTGTGCCAGGGATTTTGTCCCCTCCCCCATCTTTACATAATGCTCTTTCATGAATTTGTTGCTCTCCAGGTAGAATACCTGATGCAGGAGAAGGATGGGGGACCATGAATATGCAAGGAATTCCAGCTTAATTTTTGGCTGGAGTGATTGAATCCACAATGGATTTATTTTTCATAAATTCCTGGCTTTTATTGTTATTGTTAATCGCATTGCAGCTGTAGCATAATGCGCTATATCAAGGTTAAACTATTATTATTATTATATAGGGGGTTCAGTTCAAGAGAGGCCAAAATCCCTGTAGCGCCAGTTTGATTTAATAACATGAATGTTACTATATCATTCTACCAAACTTTTATCTTACGGAAGTCATGGTTGCAACTAAATGCTTGTTACATTCTGTCGGCCATTTTGCATACCGTGTGCCTAATAAACATTAATTTGTAAAATGGTCTATGCCTTGTGATGTGTGGTTTGTCAATGTCATGATGTTGTTTGTTGTTAACTTTTCAGATCGCTGGAGTTACTGGCGATTTATATACAAGTGTAAGTATACAAACCTACATTTGCATCATTCCATATTCTCATATATTTGACTACTTAAATCCTGAGCAAATATTGGTCTATAGACACGTAAAACGTACTTCATTTTTGTCACTGAACATAATTCTATCTATTATTAAACATACAGAATACATTTAGTATGGCAAACAAAAAAAATGATAAAATATAACCGAAAATAGATCCGATACGTCGTCATAGTCATCAACTGTTCATAAGTAGATTGAGTTTAGCGCCCTCATTATGACAGTCGTATTTCGAATCCATGGTGATCTACATTATTATGCATTTCATTTGTAGGTGTGATTTGGAATATAATATATCGTGTTTATTTTTTTTTGTATAAGAAAACTGTATAGTTTAGATTTATAATAGTGTTTTAATTAATTATAAATGTTTGCTTATTCGGCGACTTTCTTGGGGGGGGGGGGTGGTGCAGTTTGCAGGGGAAACTTTTTTTCGGGTGATTTTTGTACATCCAAAGGAGGTGGGGTGAGGGGGGAATTTGTAGGAGTATTTCCAAGATAACCCACTAATTTAGAAGACTTCTTCCTAGAGTCCATGGTGATTGGGCTACTGGGAAACAGTCCCGTACACTTCTAATAGTGTCCAAATTGGAAATTTGACTATATCCCCTGATCTTTTCTGAAGAGTGTGCTGCTTTCTTTAACGTGCAGATGGGCCATATTACACACGGGATCAACGGCTAAACGTCTCATCCGAAAGATGATGTGACATTTCAGTCCAGCTGAAACACAAGAAGAGCAACGAGTGAATTTAAACCAATGAACAAAGCAAAGAACTAAAATGATCTCGCCTCCCCCCCCCCCCCCCCCCCACAAACACAACAATTCACGCACGCACAGTGGCTTCCGTTAGTGAAGCTAAGCTGTATACGAGCGAGTTCGTAAATAGCGACTTTGCTGGGGCGAGTTGACTGGGCAGAACCAGTAGATTCAATTAGGTAAAAACAATAGTGTCAGGCACCGCCCTTCTTAGGTTACTGTGCTAGAGGTGATGGCGATGATTATATACCTCATCAATTATAATAATTGCAAGGTAGAGCGTTACTGCAGTTGTATTTATCGTGAGCAGACATAGATTTTACTTACATTAGTTACCGTTCTCATAATACTTAATGAACAGGTCGAAGTCTAACTTAACTCCCTAATTATAATCAAGCATGGCGCTATTCAAATAGGCCTATAGATGATTAATAATGCACGCAGCTCCAATAAGAACTATTATACATGCCTTTTTATTCAACATTTTACACAGCAGCACCTCACAAGCGCAGCCTTAAGTGCAACTCTACGTTTCAGTACCGCATTAATTCGTAGAGCATCGGAGACTAGCGCTGTTCCACCATGCATGTACAAGAGAGTGTGAAATTAGTGCTTCCAATAGACACGGAAGTCCGTTATATGTTTAATTGATCTAATAAATTGAAACACAGATCAAAGTAATTAACTGATTACGGAGGTTTTATTACGATGGAAAATTATTAGATCTACCAGTCATTTAATGGGTATAGGCCTATATGCACAAAGACGGAACATTATTACTTATGCGTCTGTTATTTGATTAAAAAAAAAAATATTCACTAAACTACTAATATGCAATAGGGCTACCTTATAAATATACAAAGTAGGTAATAATTGTTTTTAAGTGTTTTAGCCCAGTGAAAACAGCATATCTGTAAGTTAAGTTGGTGAGCAGACCGATTGGACAGCTGTTCTACCAGTACGGTACCGTATAGTACCGTACCCTACCATCTGCTCCACCCGGTATCTTCAAGTGTATG